GTGTCTCATTGGGTGTTAACCATGTTGAACCAAACAATTATTCAAGCTTTTTAAGTGCAGCCTAGAACTCAGATTTCTTAACTAGAACACCCTGCTCTCACAGGTGTGCTCCTTTCGCAGAGAAGCAATGGTACCTATGCTCTCGCGTGGATCATTACTCAACAGCAAACATTAAGCACAGACCTAATATGCTCACATCACACTCTGATATCTACTTTCGCTGACCAGGGATGTGATGCTTGCTCTCAATAGATCTAGCAACCTAATTCAGGGTTAATGATAAAAGATTAAACTTGGAATCAAATACTAAGTGATCAAATCAGTATCAGCAGTAAGAACACTGGAGAGAAAATGCGAGAATGGGACTTATCTATGTTCAGTTCAAGGGATCAACACCCTAGAACCCTAGGCTAACAAGATTGACTACTCAGCCATAACAACAGAGAACACAAAGTCAAGAGATGAAGAAGACATGAACATTATTCCAGATAAAATATAATAGGGTTCAGAGGATTCTTCTCTAAATCAAGAGAGATGATCTTCCCCCTTTACAAGCATCAAAATCACAATATCCAAAGGTTCTAAAGTTTCTTCTCTCCCAAAAGAAGCGTTCTCTGTCTAGGAAAAATAGAATAGAATATGTCCCAAGGCCACAGGCGGCTGGGAGAAGAAAATAGAAAGATTAGGGCAAATCCCGAAATTAATTAGAAGTTTCCATAATTTTCGGGAGCAAATCGGGGCTTGCTCCCCATGGGTGCTCCTCGATAGAAGGAGCAAGCAGGGGGTTGCTCCGTTCGGGTGCTCTACGATGGAAAACTCTGGTTTTTGCATTCTTTCTTCCATATGCTCCTTCTGGTGCATTCCAACTCGTTCTATACCTGAAATAACTCAAAACACACTAAGTATACTCCAGGAAAACACAAAAGTGATATGCAAAGTATGTGTGTAATATGTCAAAAACACAACATATCACTATTCACCCAGAAGACTTACTTTGAAGAATTACTATTCGGCCAGAAGACTTACTATTTCAGTGGGAAATAGTAAACTATGGAAGACTTTGGAAGACCTACTGAAAGACCTTAAGTAGGTCTTCCGAGTTTTTCGGATGTCTTCCAAAGTTTTGACTCTGGAAGACTTAGTGGAAGACTTTAAGTAGATCTTCCGAGGTCTTCGAAGGTCTTCTAGTAGGTCTTCTAAAGTCTTCTTAAGTCTTCCAGATTATCATGACTGACTTATATTCACTCATCTAGGTTAAAAACAAATCAATTTTATTAAGTCTAAATTTATATCACTTAGAAATGTCTATAATTAGATGATTATGATTTTTCCTCTATAAATTTTCTTTTTGAAATTTATAAATTATTTTAAGTATTAATACACTAGAAGACTTTAGAAGACTTTCCCTGAAAAACTTTAAAAGACATTGGAAGATTTAATTTTAAGCGGAAAACTAAATTTTTTTTAGAATTTTAAGCGGGAGATCTAAATTTTGAGCGGAAAACTGTTATTAAGTCTTCATAAATCTTCTGAACCCACAAAGTCAAATATATATAACTAAATCACATACAAATACTTTATTAAACTTAAATTAAACTTATAAAATGTTTAATCTACAAAAACTAAACACATATAGCTAAAATCTATTTAAAAAAAGGTTAAGATTCCACAATCTAACTCTAAAAACACATACAATACTACAACATAGTTACCAAACCATAAACCATATAATATCATGCTTTGTTACATTTACTCATCTATGTTGAAAAAAAAAATCAATTTTATAAAGTCTAAATTTATATCACTTACAAATGTCTATAATTATATGATTATATTTTTTTCCTATCAAAATATTTTTTATGAAATTTATAAATTATTTTTAAAACTAATACACTAGAAGACTTTCCTTGGAAGATTTTAGAAAACTTTCCGTGGAATACTTTAGAAAACATTGGAAGACTTAATTTTAAGCGGGAAACCTGATTTTTAAAAAACAAATTATGCGGGAAACCAAAATTTTGAGCGAGAAACTGTTCTTAAGTCTTCATAACTCTTCCCAAACCCGAAAATCAAAGATGTCAAATATATAACTAAATTACATACAAAAACTTTATAAAACTAAATTAAACTTATAAAGTGTTTAATCTACACAAAACTAAACACATGTAGCTAAATTTTACATTTTTTAAAAAACATGTTAAGATTCCACAATCTTACTCTAAGAACACATCCAATACTACAACATAGTTACCAAACCCTAAACCAAAGAATATCATGACAAACTTAATTCACTCATCTATCTTGAAAACTATTTAGTTTTATTAAATCTATATCTACATCATTTATAATGATTTTTTACTAACCAAAATATATTTTTCTTACATTTTTAAATTAGTTTTAAGATCTATAGCAAGAGTAAGTCTTCTCATGAGACTTACCTTCTCACTCGCAAGGTTATAATGGTAAACTATAATCATGTTTTTTTGTTTAGTCATGAGGGGATGTTGGTAATTTCACTAGCCTTTTGAGTTACTTTTGCATTTGATTTGAGTTTGGGTACACTTTTGTATTTAAAATCAAGTTTTGAGTCATATTTGGAAAATCTCCCAACTATCAATTATGTTATGTTTAATAATTATCATTGTCTTGCAAAATAAATAATGATCATTCTTTTCACATAAATTTATGCATTGAAAATATATTAAGTTCATATCCATCAATCTATAAATTTTCAAACCAAAATTTATAATATTTATATAAAATAATCAAATCATGAATTTTAATTTAGGAACTATGTTAACCTTATAAAGATCATATCGTTAATATATGGCTTATACTGGTTTGATCTGGATATATCCAAAGTTTAATCCAAACTTTTAAAGCAAAACATAAGAAATAAACACTTATTTATATAGAAGCAGATATTTAAGGTACTTTTTAAAATTTAAATATTTATTTTAGATATCACTCTAAAATAAATACAGATTTGAATTATATATATATGTTTCAAAAATATTTATATTTGTCATTAATTTAACATTCAGATCGGTTTTTCAAATCTTTACAGGCTTGTTTGGGTTATTGGTTTGGATTGGCTAATAATACTTCGGTTTTGATATATTATGTACCACTACCACCCTACAAGATCTCTTATGGAATTTTTTCCATTTCAGATCGGGTACAGATAGGATTTTTGTAGTTTGGGTTCGGCATGGACTTCGGGTTATGGATTTTTATGCTCAAGCATATTGCAAGTATATTTTAAATAAAGAGAAAATACTATTATAATATTTTCACCGAAAATATATCCTGCGCTTTGAAAACGCGGATGAAAATCTATTATAATCTATTAAAACAGAATCCTAAATTTTATCTACTTATCAACGTTGTCACTTAGGTTTTGGACTTATTTATATATCACTAGAATATATATTAATACAACTAAATATGAGATTGATATCCCCTTAACTTACTTTTAATATTACAAATGGCCACTCCTATTTTTATAAATAACAACATTAATTAGTTTAATCCTAATTACTAATTACTATACATTCCAAAATGTTCACCATTGATTTATTTTATTGTATTTAATTGTTTCTTATTTATCTAATATTTTAAACATGCCAAAGCCTAATAGAATTGTTCTATTTAATTGTGGTGCATCAGAAAAATACAGCAACATTTCTTTGATTTTGAATATTACTATGAATTTATGATTGGTAAATTATAGTTATACAACTATATGATCTTTATAATTTTTAACCTTTCATATTTTTATAGCTATAGTACTATACAAATATATAATTGCTATAATATGTGATTCAAAAACATATTTTATTTAGACTTGGGCTAACATATTATATCACCAGTTCTAAAATGGTTAGTGCATGGATTAATCATCATTACTCAGACATGGACTAACATAATATATCATCAATATTTTTTATAACATGTGTTTTTAATAAAACACTAAAATCCTGATCTGGACATCGGTTATTTTATTCTTTTTTCAATGGATTTTTATTTTAAAATGGTTATGTTTTTTTATATGATATTATTTAATCACATCGCTATTTAAATTTTAAACAAAACATTACCATAATAAAACTTATTTTTCATTTGGTAAAATTTATCGTTGTCAATTATCCTTCTATTATTATTTTATATTTAAAAGAGAACTGAAAATTCCTTTCTAAAAAAATCTTTCTAATTATGTGTAAAATTCATTGTCGGAAATTAATTAATTTAAAATGTTATCATCATTAAAAATAACTAATTTTATATTATTTTAGTTTTTGTTTACAAATGAAAAATAAATTAACTCTAATCTCTAATATATTTTATGATAATTAGAATTTTAATTAATTAAATTTTGAAAATAAATTCTAAAAAGATTCCGAAAACATATTTCATCTAGATTTTAATTGAATTTTTGAAAAAAAATATTCATATGTATTCCAAATAAAAAGATAAATATATTGAAAGATATTCTAGTTAAATTATGTAAAAATTATTATTGTTTCTAAGAATGTTCCAAGCAAAAAAAAAAAACAAAATAAGAAAATTCAAAACAAACCCCTATTCATAAATAACTAAACTATTAGTATATTTTAGAAACCAAAAACCAATCAAACAAAAAAATAATAAATATAATATGAGCGCGAACTGATGTTTAAAAATATCATCAATTATAAAAATATAAATTATAAACAATTTCGCGCAACTGCGCGGATTAGAATCTAGTTTGACTTACAATAAATCACATTTGCTATGCCATTTTTTAGCACTAATCAAATTATAACGTTTACGTTTATAAGAATTATTAATTAATAGGTATTGTTTTAAAGTTGTTTCTCCCAAATTTAGTAATGATTACAACACATAATAAAAATTTTGATAAATTTAACTGCATCTCTTCTTTTGTTGGATTAAATCCTTGTGTTGTAGTACGTTATTCCTTACGCGTACGTGTTCATTCTTGTAAATGATAAGAAAAACTACAGATCTTGGTGAGTTACGAACGCAGCTTTCCTATATTCTGCAAGTGCCCACAATGGGAAGGTGCTTCTGTATGTAGCATAGTGTAGCATGCAAGTATTCATGAACGCTCCTACAATTTCCTGCTTACCAAGACATAACATAAACAGAGAATTAGCTCAGAGTATCAATTCATTGGTCATACATTTGAGTTTGTTAGAGTGGAAAAAGTGATGGGAGTTGAGGTTGTTAGAGATTCAAAAAGCAAAGAAAAGAAATTTTGTATAAAGTAAACAGTGAGAATAATACAGATTAGCGTGAACTGATTTCATTAACTATATGATGATCTGGTAAAAACATTAACATGGAGATAAAACCTAGCCCTTCTAACAAAGATTCTAGATCCATGGGCAAAAAGTGATACCGTCTCTAATATCTTCTTCTATCCACCTACTTCTTAAGTTAACTTATTTCTAGATACAACTAGCTAATATAAACTAAGATCTGTCAAAGAGGATGTCAGAAGTTTACTTGTTGAGGAAAATCTCCACTTTCCATTTGTGAATTGATGATGAATTTTGCAGCTTTGTGAAGAGGCATAACATCTCTCTCGGCCTGTTGTTTATATAACCGCATAATAAACGACTGGTTTCAAGACAACCTCGTCGTAGTAGACAAAAAAAATTACACATGTAAACAGAAAATATTTGAACCTGTCCTGCAGAAATCAGACCCATCATAGCCCATGCGGTTTGAACTAGGTTTGATCCATTCCCTTCTAGTGGTATGTATCTCTGTATGCAAAAATATCAAAATGAATAACACTTCTTCAAAAGTTTACGTGAAATTGGTATACTATAATCTAATATTGTTTTTTTTTTGGGTAAAATAATATAATATTGTTGACTCATAAAAATACATGTTCAGGACTTTTTTTTTTACCTGTTCAGGACATGAGAGATAGCTTTCGCCCCAACCTCCATCTTCATTCTGTATTGAAAGAAGAAAATCTACACCTTTGCGGATAGACAGACAGTTGTTGTATGTTTTACCAATCGTTGATAGGCCGCTAAGAGCAAACCATGTGCCGTAGGTAAAACAAATACCCCAGTTTCCATACCTACGATTACTCAAAACAAAATAAAAACTTTTGTTAAGGAGTTTTTGAAAACACATTCATTAAACATATCTTAATTATAATAATGTAACATACCATGAACCATCGGGCATTTGTATACTTTCTATGAACTTCCCGGCTTTTACGATCGACTTGGTGATTTCTTTTATCCTATGCTCCGGATATAATTGTTTGAACATAACCAAAGCTTGTATAACAGATGAGGTACATTCCACGTATTCGCCCTCAGACATAACATTAGCAAAAAATTCTGTGGGATTTAGCAACTGCAACACCAATTACAAAGATTAGTGATTCTCTTCTTGAAGAATTTTCAACTTGGCAAAAAAAAAAAAAAATATATATATATATATATATATATAATATATACATAAAATATATATATATATTTCTGTGGGTTTAGCTCTTACTTCCAACCATTTAGGTGCGCAGGCAGGTTCCCATGCAGTCAAACCTCCATTTTTACTCTAGATAAAATGACGTGTAGTCATGACTCATATATAATCCTTAGAGCACTAATTTTGAACACCAGGATTGTACATATAAACTCACCTGTAGAGATAGCAAGAGATTAACAGAATCGTATAGATGTTCAGGATCCATTTTCTGGCCAACGACATCAGCTGGCATTATCGAGAGCAAAAGGCAACACTACAAAACCAAAGAAGTACATGTTAAACTGAGGGATGAGTCTTGTGGGCTTGTTCTGCTTCAAGAACTAATTTGATTACCTTAAGAGCTTCAGCTGTACAATCTGAAACTTGCCATCCATGATCTCTATCAGAAAACGTCCATGCTCCTTTGGAACTGTGACGATACATGCTCTTGAAGTCACCTGAAGGGTTTTCTCTGACCTATAAACGTCTTTGATTAAGAAACAACTTGGGTTTTTTAGAGAGAAATTCAAGATACAAGGATATATATGAAACCTGAGATATCTTTATGTAATTGTGTCCTCTCCTTAGAACCTCATCGGTCTCATCACAGAGATCACTAGCAAGTAAAGCCTGAATAGCAAACCCTGTTTCCCAAAGCTGACTTCCAAAGCTCTGCGTATATTTGAAAATTCTTAAGACTTTTTCTACTAAACTATGTTAGGGCATCCTCAATAGAAAGCTCTTAAGAGCACCCGCAGTGGGTGAGTACCTTATGAAATTTCTCACATTTATAATATTAAAAATTAATAAAACAAGAGAGAACGTGTAAAAGGGGAAGAAACGTCTTCTGCAGAGAGATTTTGCCAAATCCATTAGAGATTCATATGCTACATTTCACCTTATGACTGGTTGAACATATTATGTGTTTAAATTTTACTTACACAACAAAATAAATACTAATATTAAACTCATGAGATACTCTACTAAGAAATCGTCCCACTAATGATGCTCTAAAGGAGTTTATCAACTAATAGTGAAGAGAGAGAGACACTACACATGTGGAAGAAAGAGGTGGTGAGTTTATTAAAATATTTGGGCTAATTTGCTGAAAGTGTTTGGTTCATATGGTTTCGTATGCCATTGAATACGTCGGGTCATGGCTTCAAAGATGTTCTATACCAATGAAGATTACAAGTTCCGATGAGATCACCGAGAGCCTACAACATGCGACATTATGGGAATCTGGTATTCGAGGAAATGAGGTCAAATTCACCATTCATGTGATTAGTATCAATAGGTGAAAACGGTGACTGGTAATCTAAGGAAAGTAGAGCAAATTTGCAGAATGCGCAGTGGTGATGGAAAACAAGTTATGTAATATTTTACTTGGATCATTTTGGTTGATTCAGGCTTGTAATCGAGCCTTTTAGGATTTTTAAATATAATTACTTAAAAAGAAAAAAGATGATCTATACCATATGTTCTTTCATATCTTTTTTATTGGCATTTAGTATTATAAAATTTTTAGTAATAAGACTATAAGAAAAACACATCGTTAAAATACGGCTTATACTGGTTTAACTATTTATAAAATAATCAAAAATATTAAAGGTTAGAAATTATAACGACCATATTGTTAAATTACGGCTTATACTGGTTTGGTCTGGATATATCCGAAGTTTAATCCAAAATTTTAAACCAAAACAAAAGAAATTAATTAAACACTTATTTATATAGAAGCAGATATTTAAGGTACTTTTAAAAATTTAAATATTTATTTTAGATATCACTAAAAAATAAATATAGATTTGAATTATATATTTATGTTTCAAAAATATTTATATTTGTGATTAATTTGAACATTCAAATCGGTTTTTCAAATCTCTACAGGTTTGTATGGGTTATTGGTTTGGATTGGCTAATAACACTTCGGTTTTGTTATGTTATTTACCACTACCACCCTACAAGATCTCTTATGGTATTTTTTACATTTCAGATCGGGTACGGATAGGATTTTTGTAGTTTGGGTTCGGCATGAACTTCGGGTTATGGATTTTTATGCTCAAGCATATTGCAAGTACATTTTAAATAAAGAAAAAGGACTATTATAATGTTTTCACCGAAAATTTATCCCACGCTTTGAAAATACGGATCAAAATCTAGTATAATCTATTAAAACAGAATCCTAATTTTTATCTACTTATCAATGTTGTCATTTAAGTTTTGGACTTATTCATATATCACTAGAATATATATCAATACAATTAAATAGGAGATTGATATCCCCTTAACTTACTTTTAATATTACAAATGGCCACTCCTATTTTTATAAATAACAACATTAATTAGTTTCATCCTAATTACTAATTACAATACATTCGAAAATGTTCACCATTTATTTATTTTATTGTATTTAATTGTTTCTAATTTATTCTAGTATTTTAAACATGCCAAAGCCTAATATAATTGTCCTATTTAATTGTGGTGCATCAAAAAAGTACAGAAACATTGCTTTGATTTTGAATATTACTATGAATTTATGATTGGTAAATTATAGTTATATAACTATATGATCTTTATAATTTTTAACCTTTAATATTTTTATAGCTATAGTACTATACAAATATATAATTGCTATAATATGTGATTCAAAAAACATATTTTATTCAGATTTGGGCTAACATATTATAACTTTATGCGGAATATTTTTTTCTTTATTCTCTTAAAAAAGGGACTAAATTAATTTCCTGCTTCTAACCAAAAAAAAAAAGGAGTCAAGGCCGGCTCTGTTCTTAGGATCCCACGTCTATGTGTGAAACTAATTATGTAAAACCGCAAAGTTATTGAACATTTGTTATGGAAAAACCATATACTTAACCGCACATAAGTAGTCTGGTGGTAGGCTAATTCCGGAAGCTAAGTAATCCCATGACACTAAACATATGTGATCAGACAACATAGATTTCTAATTTATATTTCGAGCAACTGGTTCTATCTGGCATCGGTGGACAGATCCAGTTTCGTAAGATATCAGGATTATAAAAAAGCCATATAGAAACAAACAAGATAATATTTTATGTTGTTTCCAAAGTGGAACTCTTATTTTGGCTTTTAGCCAAAGTTAGTAAAGCTTGTAAACTAATTCCAGTAAAGTATTGCACTTATAAATGGGAAAAATGCATTTAAATTACTAACTTTCAAATTTGGTTAATAAAAACATGATTTTTTTGTTGGACCATTTAAAACCTCAACTTATCTTGACTAACCATTTTAAACGCACACATATATTGACTAAGCCATTTCAGGGACACCGTTAAAGGTTAACGGATTGTCGTTTTGAATTTTTTTTTAAAAAATTCATCAAGGGAATCAAACCGACGACCTAAGCTGTCTATGATACAATGTTAAGCCACTGGATCACTTATGATTCCCTTGACTCAAACGCTAGTTCTTCTTCATGATCCTCGACATGTTTAATGTTTCGCAGGAAGAGGTTACTCTCCGTTAAGATGAGGGCGACGATTTCTCATTTGATTTTAATCGTGATTGTTACTGGAGGATCTGTCTCTTTTCTTTTTCTCCAGAACTTTTTGATGAAGCTTACGGAAGATTGATTTTGCCTTATCTTTTCGGATTATTACATGGTTATCCAATCATATTCGATTGTTCCGCGGCGGAGGAAGCTAGAATCAGAGTTTTCTCTATTCGGAACGTGACAGGAGATAGTAACTTCGTCCGGGTTCCACACGATTGTTATCAGAGTGTTGAAGCAACCTCTCGTGACGAACTAGCGTTTGAATTAACAATAACAACTATGAATATTTATACATGTCAACGGAATCGTAAGTGGTCCAGTGGCTTAACATTGTATCAAAGGCAGTTTAGGTTGTGGGTTTGATTCCCTTGATGAACATGTTTTAAAAATAATTCAAAACGATGTCGTATTAATTTAACAGAGATTATAAACGGAGGTTAACCCCGTTAACTCAATCCGTTAACCTATTTAACGGCGTCCATGAAATGGCTTAGTCAATATATGTTTGAGTTTAAAATGGTTAGTAAAGATAAATTGAGGCTTTAAATGGTTCAATAAAAAATTTATGTCTTTTTTGAACCAAATTTGAAAGTTGGTGATTTAAATGATATTTTTTCATTTATAAATTATCACGGAGTCCCTTCAAGTTAGTTTTTGTGGTGAGTCCTACAACTAGGTCTTATCGGGCCTTAGTGAAGTATCTGATATTTCACATCAGACTATATTTAAAATAGTTTATTTAATTCTATTAGAACCTGCATTTTCAGTCCATCTTCAGCTACCCATATGTAGTCCGAAAGCCTAGAGAGATGTTTCTTAAAGTGATCCCCATCCGGGTTTTCAATCCAGCAAACAAGCATGCACAAAACCTGATAGAGTTTTGAAAATGTAAGCGTTCTGAGAGAATACACGCATAATTAAAAGGTTTGCTCAAATGTTTTACCTTCTCAACACAACCAATGGTGATATAATGGCTATTTTCGTCCTCATAATGTATGTGTTTCATTGCCACTTGAAGAGCCTTTTCTCTTACGAGCTTGTTTAAAGGCCAACTTGTGAGGAAAGGCTCGGCGACTATGTGGAGGGTGTCCCATATCAAATCTTGGACCAGAGGGTGAGGATAGTACGTGTCTTCCTGCAACGGTAACTGATGTAATGTTTCCATAGATAAATTTGAAGATCAAAATTAGTCAACCATACCTTTGCACATAGACGCCGAGCTTTATTCCAGTTGATTTCTTCGTAAGGTTGTACGTGAAGTTCTTCACGCAGTTGTATGATAAGAGGTGTAATTGGACCAACAAATCTTTTACCATATAGATAAGACATGGGCATATAAACCATCCGGGTATAGCACAACAATTTTCCTGTAATATATTTAATTTTGAGAAAATTAATAATCATTTAAATCATTAACTTTCATATTTCGTTGAAAAACATGAACTATTTTAGACCATTTAAAGTACCAACTTAGTTTGGTTAGTCATTTTAAACCTCAACTTAATTTGAGTAAACTAAATTAAAGACGACGTTCACTCAGATAACGGATTGATTAGACGGTGTTTAATCGCCGTAATCCAAACGACGTCGTTTTTTTAAAAAAAAATTGTATTTGAAAGGAATCAAATCCGTGACCAAAGATACATACACTGTAAACCCGAACCACTAGACCAATTACAATTTTTTAAAATTAAATAAATACTAAACTATATTATTATTAAACCTCTAAATCATCTTCCCAATCTAAATCCCTAAATCGATCCTTGTATTTAGAAACAGAGAGTTTCATAAATCGAAAGGGAAAGGTGGATTCAAGCAAGTGTCGCTGAATTTCGTCGCCGTCCCTGAGTTTCGCCAAAACTTAATCTCTTGCCCTAAACTTAAAAAATAGCTCTTTTTGTGCCAAATTCATAGGAAGTGTGTGGATTTGTGAAACTCTCTGTTTCTAAATTCCCCTTTTTACCATGATCGATTTAGAGATTTAGGTTGGGAGAAGATGATTTGGGTAATATCTTTGTTGATAGGTTTGATTCCTTTCATATACAATTTAAAAAAAAAAATCAAAACGACGCCATTTTGGACTTAACAAAGATTAGAAACGGCAATTAACTCCGTCTAATCATTATACTACCCGAGTTAACGTCGTCTTTAATTTGGCTTAATCAAATTAAGTTGAGGTTTAAAGTGGATATTCAAACTAAATTGATGCTTTAAATAGTCCAAGAAAAAATTCATGTTTTTTTCAATCAAATTTGAAAGTTGGCGATTTAAATGGCAATTTTCTCATTTGTTTTTCTCTGTGTTAAAGCAGGCTATCTTAACAAAATAACTACAAATATGAGTGTATCAAGTTGATTCGTATAGCAATATCTCCAAAATAGGAACATGACAAACCTAAGTGTATTGGTAGGAATGAAGGTAGCAGCCACATTTCAGGAGGCATCGGGTTGGTTCCAGACCAATCATAGATTCCAAGTATCTACATGTGTATAGAAGAGGAATGTAGATGGTAATGCTAAAATCGATAACTTCTACCATCTAAATTTAACACATGATAAACAAAAAACATTTACCGAGAGCCAGACTTTTCCCCAAGAAGGAATATAAGTCACACCACCATGGTCAAGAATCCATTGCCTAGCCCGTCTACATGCGCTTTCTTGTCCTCCATCAGAAGCTACTCCGAGCATACGCAAACATATGTAATTCAGCGCGGTGCTAAACATAACACTCTTGCTCTCAATATGTAACCCCCATCCACCATCTTCGTTCTACAAAATTAAGGTATAAAATCAAATTTTCTGTAAATATCACTAGTCATGCACAGTGACGGATCTATGTGGGAAGATGGAATGTCACCTAACACCCCTTAAAACGAAATAAATATTTATTTGTACGTAAAAACATTGAGATATCACTAGCTCTATTGGTAAAAACCTCCATGTGACACCCCTAACCTAGCTTCAAATACCCCCAATGACACCTTCAAATTTTTTTCTTTTACTTTGACACAGGTTAAATTAATTTCTAGACCTGCCACCACTATTGCATGACATTTTCAGCTCAAAGTACCTGGTGACAGTAGATATATCGAAGCATCTCTTTACGATGCTCTGCATGGAATATCTCTTCCAAATGTCCTGTGATGTACAAACAAAATACCTACGGAAAAGTTTGTTTGCTTTAATCCTCTCGTCGCTATTTTTTTTTTTGTTGGTAAAAATGTAAAGAGAAACAATTTCCTTTCTCTCTACACAAAACAAAGGACACATTTACCAACGGAGGAAGAAAGAAGAGAGGTCCGGCGATCTCTCCGGGCCAGTGACCGTCGGAGGCCTGCAAAGCTGAGAAGAAAGAAACTCCACGCCGTAACGCTTTCGTAGCATTTTCATACGTTATGTTNCTGGATTTCCAGACCACCTCAAGCTTGAGTAATAGATCAGCCGTTCGTTGTCAAAAAAAAAAAAAAAAAAACTAAATTTTACTCTGCGCGAACGTGAGGATATATTTTTGTTTTTACAGTTATATTTAGTTTTAATAACAATCTGATAAAACATATTATTACAATTTTGTGTTTTATATTATGTAACTTGGTATTTTTGTTTAATATTATTAATATATAATTATTTATAATTTTCCTATCTTTTATTAAACAACATATATTAATAAATAATTTATTTGTATTTTAATATTTTATTTAAATTTAAAATAAATATATTTATATAAGAATAAAATAGAATAATTTATCTATTTAACACGTTTCGTTAAGTTGTTTTATATGTTTTCTAATGAAAAAGAGACTAGATTTTTATAGATATTTCTCACTGATCAAAATTTATTTTAATGATTTTTTATTTTAAATAAGCTAAATTTCTTTTATTTAATTTACAAACATAAAACATCAATTGTAAACTAAAAATATACAATAAAACAATATAATTTGTACTTTTAGAAGTTTTTAAATAAAATGAAATTTATTTTTCTAATTTTCATATTTTAACTTTATAAATTAAAATAATATATTAAAAAAGTAATTGTTTTTTATTTAAAATTGAAATAGTAATTATTTCTAATATTTAATAATAATTACGAATTTAGTGAGTTATTTAAAATTAATAAGCATAATATTTTCTAAGATTATGTAATAGTAAAATAGGAAATATTCAAAATAAATAGTGATATAATAGAATATTCTTATGTGTGATATTACATTTTATTCAAATGATCTAATGTATAAATAATATTTTAATGTATTAAAAATTACTAATGAAATGGTCTAATGACTTTTTATCAGTAGATAAAAATAAGACTCTATTTTAAAAGATTAGATATTAACCTAAAGTGTTATTAATTGAGCCCAAACATATAACTCAAAAACTCAAAAAAAATTGAATTGTTTTTTTGAGAAAACGATTTGAAAATCCAAACTATTAAGTATAATATTCGAAACATAAATACTTAAGAGACTCTGTTCCATATTTATTTTAATATAATATCCTAAAATTTTGAAAATCCAAACTATTAAGTATAATATTCGAAACATAAATACTTAAGAGACTCTGTTCCATATTTATTTTAATATAATATCCTAAAATAATAATTTAAAAATAAAGTATGTCCTTAAATATCTAATTCAATGTTTATTTTGATATAATATTTAAAAGTATACGAACCCATATAAAGCAAATCTGGATTATATATGGTTCAGAAAGGATCTTAGGATGTATTACAAATTACATATGAATCTGGAGTATTATTAACAGATCCCGAACTATACTTATAAAATGTAAGAACATGATCTAGGAGGGTGATTATTAGTAGAAATTAATCACATAACCACATTTTAGTCACATTGTGTTGTGTGTCTATTTTTGTTTACTCACGAATACTAACAAATAGTCAAAACACAGAAAATGGTTAAAAAGTGACTTTGTGACAGTTTCGTGGCTATAATAGTTACTATCGATATATATGTTTTCTAATGATATTTTGTGACTAAATTGACATGGTAAATAAATGTGCCAAAACCATGTTTAATTTGTCATGAAAATAATACGAAAATATAATGTGGCACTAAACATACACGATTATATTCGTGGCTAGTCATACACAATTGTAAAAAAATTGTGCTGACACAAATTTGCCACGATATATGCATAACTGTTTGAAATTCATAACTCTATACATTCATCTTAGACCCTAAACTCGAAAATAGGTCTAATTACACCAGGGTCATCTAAAACTTTATAGAGACCTTCAGACAACAAAAAAAACTCTTCTTAATAATCTGAAATATTTTTTTTAAGTCTTGTTATAATATATTAAAGTTCTCAATTTAAAAAAAAATATTTTTATACAAAAAAATAAATTACCTATCAACCGTTTCAATATCAATAGCTATTGCCTTTTTAAGTTAAAGCTAAAAATAATTTATGGCCTACAATATCAAAAGTACTGTTTGAGTTTAATAAATGAATTTTACCGATAAATTATATTGTACTAGTAAATTGTTATTTGTACTGTTTTTTTTTTTTCCTACAAAGTATTTATGAAAGTGATTTGTTATATGAAATTTTAATGTAATTCTTTTATTGTTATGTGGTTCTAATAAAATATGAAAGAGCGTATTTTTGAAATTTGCATATGTCATTTTTTGGTTGGATTGTGATGTTTTTTTAATTCAAGGTTGGATTGTGATGTTTTATACAGTTATTTACAAGTATTTACGATATACACTTTTTGCCTTCTTGTTGGTAAAGTAAGTGACACTAATATAAATTCATTTTTTTTTCTTTCATTTCATTATGGAGTAAAACATTCTAAACTCCCCCCCCCCTTTTTCACAGATGGTCAAAACTTTTCACTGGAGAAGGTTCTATAATTATTTACAAGTATTTACGATGTATGCTTTTGCTTTTTTTTGTTGTTAAAAGACATTCCCTCAATATACTCAAAACTATTCACTGGAGAAGGTGACAGTACTAGTGGAAATTCATTAAAAAAGACGGATATAGAAAAAGTTAACTATATACAGTACTCTTTATTGTAATCTACGTAGTATATAGATCATATGGTATATTTTCTATCAAGATAGATAGATAAAGCCCCACCGGTGGGTGAAAAAGAGACTTACTTGCATTCGCCACAAGACATCACTGCAAGCTTTAACACGAAAACGGTTGTCAAAGAAACTCCTGCGAGCTTCTTCCACGGCGGCTCGTTCCTCCGGTGTACCAGCTTTATAATCAAACTCCCACGTTTGACGTCCGATGAAGTTGTTGCTGCTGAACAAATGCCGATCTTCTCCATTTCCCTTTCCTATCTTCAACTTCCACATAATAAGGATCCTATGCATATATAAGTGAGTTTAGAATTTCAGACAGATAAATATATAGTTTTTTTTAATAAATAAAATGTAATATTTCTTTCTGATAAATATATAGTTTAGTGTCGCATATTTCGACATGCGTAATAATTGTTAACAGTAGATATAAGATAACATATATTATGATTTTATATAATTTTATATTGAAAGAGCCATCTCTTGCAACGATTAAGGAAGATGAAATAGAGAGATAGAGCGAAAGTACTTGTGTTCTCAAATTTTGCTTTCACGAGATACTTTCGAAGAGTTCCATGCACCTATGGTAATATATAGAGAGGGGTTAAAGACGATTAAGAGTTTTGATAGAATTATTTAAGAGAAGATTTAATATTTTACTAGAGTTTGATCGCTTTTAAAGTGCGGGGTTAATCTTTTCTAAAACATAGATTTCATTTTTATTTTATGAAAACTACATGGTAGCTGTATATCTTAAAATCTATACTAATTATTTTCTAGTGATTAAGAGTTAAATCTAGAGAAGATAAATGATGTGGGAAATGATGTACTTAGAACACAACGATATAATCAGAATTCAGTTGACAAAAATGGACTTTATTGATATGAGATTTGATACAAAGAATTAATCGACATTGGAAGTTACAAAGTGAGATCGAAACTAAAACAAGTTTAAGACTAAAGAAACGAGGTCGATGTGAGTAGTGATGAGCTCTAGGGTTTTCCGTGTGTCCTTCGTCTTTCTTTTATAACCCTCTCTTTGTCGATTCTTCTCAACCGCCTCCACGATCTTCGGGCTAGCACTTCGATCTCATCTGGCTCAATGCGGGTCAAATTGTAAATGGCAATGCATGAGCCTGGGCCTGTTTGGTTCCTGCCCAAAATTGGGACCAACATTTGTTCCCACAATCTTTTTTTTCTTTGTCGAAGGAGAAAAGATGGCTCATTCAATTCCAGTTGAGGAGGGTCGGTTCGGCTTCCTTCTCATTATTATTTTTTGAACCGTTGGTTCGATCGTTTCTTTTTGAAATTTCAAAGGGCACGCCACCGTTGGGGTGAACCCTAGATCTTTCTATTTTTTCCTCGGTATTGATGATAGAGCCGTTGGGGATTGTAGGTATCTTTAAATACTTGGAAATCACCGTCCGTACCTAACTCCTTCTCCATTCTTTTCTTTCTTTGCGATTCTCAACCTTTCAATTTGAAAGTCAGATTAAGATGACTGATCGTTTTCTATTCCTCTTCCGACGACCACGGCGGATCGCCTTGAGACTCTGTACACGACACACGGTGTTGATTGTGCGGGCGTGCTTGAGCTTGCCGCTACATTCGAGATTCATGAGACCATTCGTGAGGGTTTTTATGGAGCGTATCTCTATTTCTTCGAGTCTTGCGGTCTCTTTTTCCCGATTCTGGAGCCCATTCTTGGCATCTTGGCCGAACTGGGCATATTGTTCACCCAGATGTGTCCTAACTTGTCGAGACATCTTCTAGCTCTTTTGGTCATAGTTCGTGAGGAAGGTGCGTTTGGTCTTGGCGACCTTCACCATGTGTGTTTAATGAAGAGAAACAATCAAAATCATGGGACTTTCCTCATGTCACCTCGTCCGGGGGGGGCAAATTGTTCAGGGGATTCTGTTTCGTGATCAAGATTGGTGAGAGGAGTTTTTCATTTTTAAGGTAGATCGGTTATCGATGGGTAACTTTCGATTTCTCAAAGCTTCCTTGCAACTGGGCCGACGAAATAAATAAATCTTTTAATTTTGGGATCTTTATTGTGTGCGATTTTCTATGGGATCAGTGAATTGATTGATCTCGTTTTTATCAGTTCATTCTGGGAGCTCCTTGATGTCTGACGAGCTCTGTGGTCTGTTAGAGGTTTTACAGTGGGAAGACTTGGATTGGTCGTCCTTTGATCTGACCCATATTCGTGCTGCTTTCTTGCTGCCGAATGGGACTGGCAAAGCGTCGGCGGTCGCAGGTCACTCGTTCGATCGTGGTGATGTTACGAGCCCCTCCAAAGACCCTTATTCTTCAATTAGGTTGGATAGGCAATTTTTTAGGAGGTCGTCGTTTTTGGCATCTAGGTCTGCCTCTAGGGGGAGGACTACCGGAGGGTCTCCTTTAGTCCCGATTCGAGATTCTGATGATGAAGGTATTCCTAAGATACGGGCATCTCCTATCTCTCTGAGTCCTGACTCGGAGGACGATTTTTCCGTTGCTAGTCGTAAACAGCATCGATCATCGCGAGTCACTCATGCAGTCGCTCGGAGTGATCTTGTGCCTCGAGGTCGCGGCACGGCGGCTCAGAGCTCTCGTTTTTTCGCTTTCGCCTCCTTATAAGAGAGGGATGCCTATGCTAAGGTAACATCCACAAATTCTAAGGTGTATTGCGATTTTGATTCTGCGTGTTCTCCTTTGTGAGGTTTTGGAGGGAACTTTGTTCTGAAATCCTTTTTCTTTAGGTTATGGAGGCCTTCAGAGAATTTGTTACAACATCGGAGAGTCACGAGGAGAAGCAGTCGGCAAAGGTGAGGGCCAAAATTCAGGGTCTTACAGAATAGCTTCGGAAGTCGAAGGAAGAAATCTGAAATAAGACTGGAGAGGCGATTCTCCTTAGGGACGAATGGAAGAGGGCTCGCCATGAGGAGATGATATTCGAGACCAAAGCCGCTGCTTTAAAGACAAAGATCATGGAATTCGAGGCTGATTGTGATCGGCATATTCGTCGTGATTCTCGTAATGTGTGTCGTGAGGTCACTGACCGCTACAAGGAAGTCCTCGCTTCTTTGGAGAAGCGTTGATCTGACAAGCGGAAGGAAGCTGATGCCGAGATTCAGTTGCGCGAGGTGGTCGTGAACATTGATCTTCTTAACGAGATTAAGAGTGAAAGGTTGGTTGTCGATGACGAGCTCATACGTCTCAAGGAAATGGAGAAGGAGTGTGAGGCCGTTGCTGAGCTGGTTGCTGTCTCAGACTGGGCTGTTTCAGATTTTGATCTTCCCGAGATTTCTGGCGATTCGGTTGTCGGGAATTCTTCTTCTGGAGAAGAATCCAACTCTTAGACTTGTGTTCCCTTTTCTTTGTTGTTTTCTCTTTGTAGGATATTTTGTGCCACAATATTTCAGACGTATTTCTTTGGATAACAACGAACTAAGGATATCTTTTTCTCGAGATTTTATTGTTTCATGTTGGCACGATTCGATATACTTTGCCTCTATAAATATCAACATGTTCTATACGATCTCTGTATCTTAGAGAGTATATTATTCTTATAACGAATTATGGCATCGAGGAAAACAAGTTCTTGGAATCCGAGAGGGTTCAGAGTCGAAACAATGGAACTGCGAAGGGCGGATCCCTTTTGGCGATGTGAGCGAAGCGCTCACCAAAGTTCTCCGTGAGGAGACCCAACTTCCACGTTTTGTGGCTCGGTCTAAGGCTAAAGATCTTGAGGAACCGCCGGCGGTGACTCGTTTGAGTTCAGGTTGCTCGAATAGTTCTGAGGGGCATGATCTTCCCCCGAAGAAGGCGAACACATCTGGGAACGATGCTCGATCTGGCTCTGCGGGTGATGGTACGGTTGTGAAGCTGTTTCATTGGAAATTCTCTCATTCTAAGGATTGTCCAATTACTGACGATCCGCTAGTGTTGCCCACTTAGTTCGGCATTTTAAGCCGGCGGGGTGTCCGCTCCCCTTGTTGCGGAATATGACAGAACGCGATGCTTACTTAAAAATGGCAGTCGCTCATGCTAAGGTTAGTTTCCTCAATCCTTGAGTCCCGGATGTTTGCCTTCTTATTGTTATAACTCGTGGCATTTTCAGGCTATGGAGGCTAATAACGAGTTTGTAGCGACTTTGGAGAAGCGTTTGCGGGACATTCCTCGGGCTGACGAGCTCTACGAAGCTAAGAAGGTCGTTCGAGAGCTAAAGCTTAGTTTGAAGATATCTCAAGATAGGGAGCGTGCCAACTGATATACCATGGTTTTGACCCACTTTTAACCATGGTATTTATATGATTTTACAATATATATATGTTATGGAGTCTATTAGGTATGTTTTCAGGTTCAGAAGCATTTTGGAGTAAAGTGATGATTTAGGTGCCCTTATGGACTTAAAGAAGAGTTTTCCCGAGATGACTATAAAGATCAGACAACAAGGTCGATATCCAGAGATACATATCGATCGATACACATCCTGTGTAATCGATCGACGACCCTTCCGTAGAGGATGACGAATTGAGATACTCCATCGATTGATGTACGCCATGTACCATCGATCGATATGAAGCGTGAAGAACAAGTTTGAGTCGGCCTTGAAGCCCAAGTTCTCTCAATATTACAAGATTGCCCCTGACGATTTTTTAACCTAATGGAACTCATATTTATAGTTATGCCTATGTGTTTTGGCTAGGTGTGCTTTTACATGCTTTTTATGCCTTTTTTACTTCTAAAGCTTTGCATGCTTTTTATCTTTGAATGCTTTTTGTGTTCTTAGCTCTTTGATTTATAAAAGTATTCTTTTCATCTTATTCTCATTTTCATAAAAGGTTATAGAATTCTAGATTTAGAAGAAACACACAAAGAGATTTGTTGTTCAAAAGAACCAAGAGTTCAATCTTCTAAATCTAATGAATTTCTATTATTACCTTGTTGCTATGAATCACTTAGCCATGTCTGAGTAGATTCACTTATTAGATTTAGGGTTCAAAGAGTTATGAGGGATTAGCCCCAACTATGGATTGTTGAGTTGTGATATTCATTATCCTGATGAACCATAATGTTTACTCTAGAGTAGCTAACTAGAGTAGGATCATGGAATGATTTAACTTGTTAAATCATCATCCTGAAATCATCTGGTATAAGCTGAGATCCTCTAGGGATGAACGAGAGCCGATCTATGATCTTGGTGGACACATATTCAACTCGATCTGAAGCTATATCGATCGATACTCCTATAGAGTAATCGATCGACGGCAACCTATATCGTCTGATATCGTTGTCAAAACATTGGT